CCATGGATTTAAACTTCCAAGACATCAATATTTTCTCCTTGCCTTTGAGCTACTTACACTCTTTTGTAATTTTACATTTACAGAGAGATCAATTTGTATTTTTTTCATCCAGAGAATTGACTTGGTCTGTGTTTGGGTAGGGAACATCATCAGAGTAAGAACCACCTCATAGCAACAGTCAAGAATAAAATAAATTTGTGAATCAATGATATTTAAAGAGACTTTTAAAATCAATAAGTTACAATTGCTTAATTATATGATAGGGCTCATAAAAGGCACATAATAGCAACATGTCAAACTATTGCAGATTATAAATAGATTACATTTTCCTGTAAGCTCTTTCTCTAGTTGAACACATAGGTCAATTAAGTAATTTAAATAAGTATTATTTGTCATTCTGCTGTTAATACAAAATAACATTTCTCCATAAGGGAATAGGAAAACTTGAATCAAAGTTCCTTGTGCTCATCTCTGTTTGTAAATTAGTTTTATATTTCTTTTGTCTACTTTGTTTGGATAGTCTTATCTTCAAATATTTCTTTATTGAAATAAATGTTAGTTAATTGGTTGAAATCAGCAAAATTCTTGGCAAATGGCAACAGTGAGAAAATTCCACAACCCATGCAAGTCCATTAAGTTTGCAGAAATATTAGGTTGGAGAGAAGGACCTCCATGGTCTTTTACTTGGGTAATTTTTTTTTTTTTTTTGCCTGTTTCAGAAAAACTAAAAGAATTGTAGAAAGAGTAGCTGGCACACAGTTATTCCTGGCCATACAAAAGACAAAGAACTAATTCAGAAGATGTACTGGAATAAATGCTTTATATAAGCATGAAAATAATAACTTTAGGTTTTTAACTGTCCTGCTGGCTAAGCTGATGCTGTAATAAATAAATACTTGGTAAATGTATCTGTAGTTTTCAGTAGCTCCTTGTCAGTGAACAGAGTTGGAGCCATGTTAAAACCTGTCTACCTGGTCAGCTGCTGAATGCTCATATCAACATGAGTGCCTTAAAAAGCAGAGACACCATTGCCCAGTGAGGTCACACTCCTCTTTAGCTACTTGTTTCCGAACATTTATTTTTGTAGGAAAATTAAGTTTTGAGGTAGAAAGAAAGGGATCTGTTAATTGAAATGCTGATTTATGTTTTTAACACGCTCAGCCTGCTTTCCTTTTCTTGATTGGTAGATATTTTATATATCCTCATATGTTACTTTTGGAAAAAAAAATCAATGCAGGATAAAGTATTTGTATTTTTAACAGTTTTGTTACAACAGGCTCCATAAGAGTCCAGAGGTGAAAATCCTTTCATCATAAGTGCAACCTTTTTTTCTCTGTCCACAGTTCATGCAAAAACTTGAATTCCATATTAATATTCTCTCATTTCTCTTGTGACTACGTCTTTGTGGTAATACTAAATCTACCATAAATCTACTTGAACTTTATCTCCTTGTGGAAATATGTAGTATTTTAGGTAACAAAGTTAGATATGCAGATGAAAAGCAGCCACTTTTGGCATTCTAAGTGCTTTTCAGAAAATGGATCCCGTGGGAGTTAAAATACTGCAAATGCTTGTATACTTAAGAAATAGACCATTAAGGCAATATATTGTGTTAGTCTTCAGTTGAACATGAGTTATAGTATAAAAAGTCACTTTTTTTTTGCTCCACACACACACAGAAAAATGAATTATCATGTAGACAGAAGGGTAAATTCTGTCCATCTTAAACACGTGTAATCTAATTAGCATTTGTGGGATTTACTGGGATGAATTCTCCCCTTGGCATGTGCAATCGCGAACAGGGAGAATGTGGGCTGTAGACTGCTAAGGGCAGACATCTGCCTGGAGGGACATCCATGAAAGAAATGCCTGCATCCTTGCCCCCAGAGGAACTTACATCAGCTGACATGGTCCATGAAGTTATGAAAAAATTTTTAGTTATGGGGAAGTTCCTCAGATGGTGAAAATAAGTAGAAATCTGCTTTGAAGGGGAAGGAGGTTCAGATAATGTTTCTTGAAATCCCGGAGTGATTTAATTGACAGAGACATGCTCTAGGAATCCTGCATTGCTGTGGAACTTTACAGAATCTAAGTTAAAACTAGGAATAATAGTGCTTTCGGAAAGAATTGAAATAAAAAGTTATGGGGCGGTTTCATTGGAGGTTATTTCTGCAGTGTGGGCCTCAGTCAAAATTGAGACCAATATTGAGGTTGATAATTAATCCTGTTAGCTCTCTTATTTCATGTAGAAAGAACTCAGTGTATTTTTCAATATGAATTGTTCTTGATTGGCTGCACCTCCTCATTAGAGCTTGTGAGAAGCACTGAAGACCTGCCAGTGCCTTTAAACACACTTGTCCAAGTGTATGGCCCTAACTTACTTTACTTCAATGTTATGTGTTTTTAGCAACAAAATCTTCATTTTCTTTGACAATATACTTTTTTAATGACAGTATACGTTTAGTCCTCTTTTTTGTTCGTCTGCTAAAGCAGACATGTTATGATGTGTTAAATAGTATAAAAATTTTTAATGGAGTGGACAGTCTGGGCTGAAGCCCTGCATGTGACAAGCTACCTCATTGCTTATTGGGAGCTACTTTTGAATTTGCTAAAGAAAAAATAAGAATTGATGTGCCACCATTTGGACCAGTGTTTTTTCATAGAGGTGATTTTATTCATTTAATGCTGTCAAAATGAAAGTAGAAGTAAGTGTGGTGCAGTTGGAATGTTTTAAGTGTCCAACATCAATATCTGCATTCCTTGTGTCATACAAAGATTTGATCCATGCTGTCTGATTAAAACAGTTTTGTTTGTTTGTTTGTTGTGTTCATAACACATAATCAAAATGATACTTAAAAGTAGGGCATTGTAGGAGCAACACTATACTTACAGCACTTTGCTTTCTGCAGAATTGCCTCTGTGTGTCCCATGCCCCATGAGCTTTGAAAATCTCAGAAAAACAGGTCTTCTCTGAAGACAAAATGTTTTGTGTTTTGTATCTTAGTCAGACAGGAAGGAGAGGTTTTTTTCCGGAGGGTCTTACAGGTTTCAGAGTCTCACATGCATCTGTGTTGGATTGAGAACCAGTAGTGTCCTCTCTCTGCTTCCGTTTTTGTCCACAAGTACTGCCATGAAATACTTTTCCTCCTTCCTTCTACCAATAGCCAAGTGCCAGTTTTAAACAGGCCCCAGAGAGCATGAAGAACTCTGTGTTGTAAGGTAGACAAAGTTTAAATGCCAAATATTCACTGTACTGCAGAAACTACTTCTTTGCAGGGTCGTGGCTGTTTTCTCTTGGCCATCCCCATCAAACCTTGGAGTCACACTCAGTGCATCTGAGAGACTTGGGGAACAGGGCTCATGGAGGTGCAACATGTCTCAGCTTCTCAGATGTAGGGCTGAGACCGTGTCCTCCTCCTATGAACAAGGGGAAGAGATCAGAGTGGTGATGGAGCACTTGAGGTCCCCCCACAGCTGCCTTGCTGCTCTGAAAGGAGCAGGAACAGGGATGGCTGGTGCTGCTGGGATGGGCCACCCAATGCAGTGACAACACCAGGGCAATGGGTGACCTTTCAGGACTCTCACATAGGAAAGTGAGGCCGTGACCACTCCTGTTTGCTGCTCTTCTTCTTCCCCTGCCCTCCAGAAAATTGGTTGCCATTTCCTGAGCTGAAAGCCAGCCCATGTGGGCTGTCATTACAGCCAAGACCTTCAGGAATGTTTTGATGGCAAAGGAAAGATATGTAGAGACAGATGACTTATAAATTAAACCACCTCAGGACATTGTAGCTTAGCATTTGGTTTGTGGATTTTGGTTGATACCTTCAAGAAAATACCAGGGCTTTCTTTTATTTCAGAGAGAGTGCTTAAAATAAGAATCATTCCTCTCACTGGCTGGTAAGTGGATTAGTTTGGCAAATTAAAGCTTTAGTTAGGATGACAGTAGAAGAGAGTATTTGTCCTCAGTCTCTGTCAATGACTCTCGTGTCTAATGTTTCTTTTCCAGAAATTGAAAGAATACTGTATGCATATTTGATATTGTATTTAGTCTCTCAAGATGGCATCCCAGGTCTGATGTTCAATTAGGGAGTGCAGTTCTGTAATCCTTATTTAATTAGAACTCCTTGTCATACTCCCTGGGAGTTGCATTTGTAATTGGATTCTCACAAGTGAGAATATGCAGAGGCTACCTCAAAGGGAAGTTGTAATTTGCTGATGTGTGTTACTTACCTGTAGTTCTTCGAGAATGTTTCCTCTGCATATTCACATTATGGGTCCTGTCCACCTTCTGTTTGTCCTCGGATTTCTGCTGCTCTACGGTTGCCGTGTTTTCTAAGAATAACTGTAGTATTGAGCACTGTACAACTCTAAAATCTCTGATCACTTGGTGTCAGGAGATGGCACTTGTACAGTCCTAGTAGTCACTGCTCTTCTAGGAAGTTCCTGTAGGCCACCAGCACTGGAGAACCAAAACCCACTGGTGTGAATATGCAAGGACAGCACTCTCAAAGAGCAAGCCAATGGTAAGTACCCTTTCTTTGTCTTCTGTGATTAACCAAATATTTCAAAATTTATTTTGTAAGTTTCCTATTTGCAAATTTGCTCCACTTTCCCTATAATAAAAACATACTGAGATTAATTTTAGAGCTGTTGCCTTTCTGGCTAAACCCAAGAAAGTATCTGTATTTGCAGATACTCGCTTCGGTTGTAAATTGATGTACAACTATCAGTGTGTGGGTGTGTGCACATGTTTGAGCTATGATACATATTTCTCTCAGACAAAAAGGCACAATTACAGTGCAGTATTATCTATTCTACAATTGCCCTCTTCTAGTTATTATAGTTATAGTAGATTAGATAGCAGAGTGAGTCACTGACCAAAAAAAGTCTTCAAATAGTATTAACAGTGTTAATTCTCGAAACGGATTCTCCAAAAGAAAATCAAAGGTGCGATGCTTTTCACTACTAAATTTTTTTTCTGAACTTTTGTTTCTTTGCAGACATGGAATTCTGTGAGACTCCCCATATTCTCTGCTCTGGCTATCAGACTGACTTACACGGTGTAGCTGAGCACAGTTACCCGCTAGAGGTGGGCTCGGATGTGGAGACCGAAACAGAAGGTGGTGCCTCCCCGGATCATGCCCTGAGGATGTGGATGAGGGGGATCAAGTCGGAACACAGCTCCTGCTTGTCAAGCCGGGCAAACTCAGCGCTGTCCCTCACTGACACTGACCATGAAAGGAAGTCTGATGGGGAGAATGGTAATAAAGAAATGCATCTAATGTACTCAGTAGAAGTAGTAATTTATTGAAAACTTTCTTCTACCTCTCTTATTTTTCTTTTTTTTTTCCTGTTCCTTTTTAGATCTCTGTATTATGTGTAAGGTGAAGGGATTGTTTGGGGCGTGTGTTGTATTTATAGCGTAGACAGAAAATAAGACCCAAAAAATGAAACAACATTTTTGTTAAAACATCATTCTTCTAGAGACTACTTTCCCACATTCTTCATTTTTATATCAAAGGATATTTATCATTTTAATTTGGTAGCCTATGAAATAGGTTCTAAAATAAATCCATATATGTACATTTATATCACATTTTGCACAGAATTGTTCCTACATGTTTTGGCTTGTGGGCATAGCTTTAAGGCTCTTCAACCAGGTGACTTGAGAGACAACCTGGAGTCCTAACTGCTCTATTTACCTCTAATTTTGTGCTAAACCTCAAGACATGCCTTTATTAGTAGGACAGATTGAACAGGTCTTTGTCATATCTCACTTCTATATTTCTCTACATATGGAGAGTGAGCTTCTGGGTCATGTGGGTGGGTTTTGGGTGGGGTGCCTTTTTTTTGGATGTTTTTTAAATATTCATTCTCTTTCAGGATCTCTTTGTATGATTTAGTGTGTCAGAGAAAGGGAAAATGTGTATTTAATTAAATAATGTGGGGAATTAATATTTTTTTTTATCTCTGCATCAAAATTGATTACAACCTACTCTGTTTCCTTAAAGAGTGTAGTAAGTAAACAGATATATCATGCTTAAGATCAGCAAGCTTAGATGATATTTTAATTTCTGTGTTTATTAACTGCATGTTATGGCAGGTCTAAGTGTTATTTTACATGCTTTTTTAAGTGGATAAGAAATAGAGGAACCAGTAAAAGTGGCAGATTGACACTTCAGTGTTGACAGTGATACATTTTAGTAGCATTATAGTCATAAGATGAAAGAGTTCAGCTATAAATGTCATTTCTATAGTTATGTGTTTGAATTTGTCAAATACAAAGCTGGTAATTATAATTTCATCTGGATGTCTGTCAGTATCGATGATAATGTCCAACATAGGCTTGAAGACATTAGATGATGTGCATGAGTTTAAAAAAAAAGGTTTTACTGCTCAGCTTGTTTTTAATTAAATATGCCTTTGAGGATTAAGCATTCTGTGCTATCACATGGTATTGTGTCCCTAGAATCACGTAGTTTTCAGATGCCACCCCATTTCCAACATGTAATGGATGCCTTTCTTCTGCCTTCCTGCTTCTGCCACAACCTCTGTGGGATCCACCCTCTGTGAAGTGTCATTGCTGAGGGTGTTTTTCTTTGGGGTTGAAGGGGAGGGGTATTTGTTTATTTTCTGAAGAGATTGGTTTTTCAGTGGTGACTGAAGGAATTGAATCTGATCTGCCTGGCATTGGTTGGCCCTTAACTATGAAAATGGTTAAAAGGGAACGCTGCATGAGAAAGTAATGTGTGTACTTGTGTCATTCAGATTAAAAAATACACATTATGTTTTAAGATGCTGGGAAGTGGATGTATTGAAAGCAAATTAGGCATAAAACTGAATTATGTATTTCAGTCTGGAATGCAGTGGTGCAGCTGGGTGTTGATGATGTTTTGCTATCCATGCAAGTTGCACTAAGTAAGTAATCTTCTGTAGATAAAAATTACTGTAAGTAGCAAAATAAATACTTTTACCACCTTCATCATCCTACATCAGTGTGTCAGAAACCTTGGGTTAAGTGTCATTAAGGTAGGGACACATAGTCATTGTGCTTCACCAACAAAGAATGGAGGGATTTCTTCTAAAGGTTTGCCTCTGAGAATGATTTTATTCAATTTAAACTAATTTCCTGTATGGTGTAGTCAGAGTATTCCTTTTACATGTGGCTTTAATACTTCATTCCTTTTAAGCTTTATAACAATTTTTTAATCAGGGATTCATGTTTGAGGTACCTGAGTACCAATTTTAACTAAATAGTTAGGAGAGGAAAATGAGGGAGAGAGTAAGTTGGAAGAGAGACAAACTGAGAACCCAAGTTCACTTGAACTCTTTAGATGTCTTAAGGCAGGGCCAACAAAATAGATATCAGTGTTTCCTGGGGCATTGAGTCCTTATAATAATTACAGTCTTCAAAGTTAATATGTGGATAAATTTGAAGACAATGGTTCAAACTATATTCATTTGTTATCTAGTATTTCACAGGTAAGTTCATAGTGAAGATTCCTGATCCGGAGAGCAGTGTGTTTTCCATCTGGGTTGACACTCAGTAACAAAGCACTCTTTGAATACACAAGTTCACAAATCTCTACTTAAATTATGTCATAGGTGGCACATCTTCCTGTTTCTATGCAGTCGTTTGTGCCAGGGGCTTTATTGGAGGACCGCAAGTGTTGCATTTTTCCTTCTTGGTTCCTGCCATGGAACTGTATTTTTTTTGTGCCAGTCAGTAACTTCTCTGTGAAACTTACTCTGTGGAGAAATGAGAGTGCATAAGTTCTGTTGCTGGAAGTACATGAAATGTCCGTTTCCATGATACCGTCTAATTACTGGAAAAATATTTAGCAATTCTGGCTTTCAGGGGTTCGACCAAATGGCTTGTGAACACAGCTATTTGTAACTGGAGTAAAGTTAATGAGTTGTTGCATCGTTTGAGAAAACTAATTGCTATTGTTGTCTGTATTTTGAAACGGTCAGGTGGGTTTTGGTTTGAGGTTTATTTCTTTCGTCCTCTATGAGCACAATTTTTGCTACAAATGAAGAACAGATATTTTTGTGATAACTTTGAGATAACTAAGTATGTGGACTCCAGTAGACGTGCTTTAAAGACAGCTTTTTGCTTTACATTTATCTGAAGCTAATTTTTTTTTTTTTAAACTTCATTCTTTTCAGCTATTCTTTGACATTCTCAGTCATTCTAAGCTCTAATTGGAAGTTCCCTGACACAGGATATATACTTCTCTGTGTATTCTGGGTAGCCCAATTTGAGAATGTATTTGAGCATTGTTTTCCTTCATAGACACACCAACTCTGTCATAATCACTGTTTAAACATACTTGAGTTGTTTTGGCAGCATTGAACAGATTGTATGAAACACCAACATTCCCATTTAGTGTTGTCAACGTTAATGGCAACTAATAATAGCCTATTAGTGCTCAAACTGCCTTCAGCTTTGCCTGAGGCTAAGCAAAATATAAATTAACTGCACAAAATGAATGACCAATTTCTTTGGGATCATTGCTTATCTCTGGCGTAGTATAAATAGCTCTATTTAAACATGAGCAGTGTTACTGTATAGTATGTGAATGTAAATTTCAGACCACAACACTACAGAAAACCCATATCAAAAGTAGTTCCTTTATTCTATTGAAGAAGACTGCATTTACCCACACTTCATTGGTACTGAGGGTATCATTGCAGCGTGTCAGAACACTGCTTTTGTCTGCTAGACTACTGAGCTGACAAATTCATTTATTTATTTATTTATTTATTTATTATTAAGTAAGTCCAGAGGAGGATACAACCCTGATCTACAGAAAAGAGTGGTCTTCAGATGTACATATAAAATTATACTGTGTGACATGGATCTGTGTCCCCTGCTAGCCAGTGTACTAAAAAGCAACCTACAGTCCTTTCTGTGTCCATATAGTCTTCCTTGTTGTTGTTCATGGAGTTCTAATGTTTCCCTTTACAGGATGTCTGTGCAGCTGTGACACGATGAGTGTCACCTCAGCTGCATTCATGCCATGCTATAAACCATTTTTGAATCACATTTGACATGTTTGCACAGCCATCAACTCTCTTAATTTTAGCTACTACATCTCAGCTGAGAGCTGGTACAGAACTTTAGCCATTTCTACAATAACACGATTTTTAAGCTTTTTTGCTTTGTCAGATTGCTTTGAAGTACTTTTAAGGCTGACTTGTTTGGCTTACTCCTGACATCTACTTAGATGTTTTTATGCAATTAGTTACTCTTTCTCTACCCCATAGTGAGAACCAAAAGGAGAGTACAGGATTCCCAGTGCTGGGTGAGTGTACTGTGAAATGCACACTCAGTCTGGGAGCCTGATTCATGTTCATTTCCCTAGGCTGCATTATTTTACATTATTTTATGACAACTGGGTATTAGCTGTAGTTCACAATGACTTCTTTGAGATTTCTGGGTGAGAAATTAGGGTGTTAGTACAGGCCATGTAATATAGCATTAGAGTGTTTGAGATCTGGTCAATAATGTTTTTAATATCATATTTGTCTTTTTAAAAACAAAGCAAGAGGGGGAAAAAAACAGCTGTGGAAAAATGTGGGTTTTTCTTTTTTCCCCGTATAAATTAGTGGGAAACTTCTTTCTTAACATCAGTGTTCTATTTGAAACAATACTTTTAATACTATCAATAATTTTAAACAGCAGACTGCAAAGATAGGATAAAAATATTAGCCATATATTGATAAGTAGATGTAGTAGAGAAATTAGCAGGTTACAGATCAAAGCTGAGTTTAATGAACTAGAAACATGTAAGATTAATCTTGGGTAATTCATCTAAGTATTTGTTTTATAGCCTGGGAGCAGTGGTCCATTTAACAGAGTTCTTGACTGTCCCTAAATCTTGGGGGTTTTTTCACTGTGATTGCTGGGCAGATGGGTGAGTTTTGGGCAAGTCACCTCAGCTCTTTGCACTTAGAGATTCAGTATCTTAACATATCCGTTAAAGGGGTGAAGATGCTTAATTAATAAAAGAAATACTGGAATTGCTGAAGCTGTATGAGATGTGCAGCTTTGTGAATGCTGTCGTTATGCAGACATGGAGAGGATTTAGCTGAGGACAAGGCTCTGATTTAATTTATGGTGTGTGTCAATAGACCTACTGTGAATTCACACCTGTTTAAATTAGACTGGAATTTGGCTCTTCATAAAAGTCTTGTGTATAATGTAAGAAAGTGAGAGCATTGGGATTAATGTTACTCTTATTTACTGTTATTTTGT